TCTCTCTCTTCTCTTCTCTCTCTGTCTGATTCATAATATCCTGCATGCATGCGAGCATTTTGCCCTGCATGCGATATTTTCCTGCAACAGGACTCGAATCCTGGACAGACCTCATGGCAGGACTTCTGCCGGAGCACGTATTGGTTGTGTGTCAAAGCATGCTATACATGTAGACAGCTGCATGCAGCCATGTCTTTGAATGCATGAAGAACTCGCCAATAGCAGGGCACTCTTGCTCGCTGGCAGTTCCTCTGCATGTGATGCAGGCAGCCATTTTGCCGAAAGGTGTTGTAGCTGTTGTAGCTGTCCATTATAGTCTTGTTCAGTCATGGATGCCTTGCTCAACCACATCAAGTGCACTGCTGAATTCCTGAAAGTGAACGTCTCTAACTTCACCGAGGAAACCAGGAGAGAGATCACTAAGGGCCAGCTGCAACAATTGATTCAAAAGGTTGCTGGGCTTCAGGACCTCACCCCTGAGGGAGCTACGTCGCTCACGAAGGCCATGCAAGGCACCTTCTTTACGGACCAGGACAGGGAGGCTTGGGCAACGGCCGTGTCCAACAGACTTATCGGCTGTACGACAGCCATGAGCAAAGGACGACGACCCAACCAAAAAGTGGAGGACTTCTCCTCTTACCTCACCCCGACGGACGTGGCTGTGCTCGCGGGTGAGGGCAACTTGTACACGAAGCTTGAAACCTTGGTTTCACGGTGCCTTGCTGTGGGGATGACAATTCCTTCGGAGACGAGCATCAGGCAAATTCTCGCGGCAGGCATCGCTGCTGGGATCAATCAAGGCGAGAGCAAGGATCAGCTCGCAATGGTTCAAGAGTTCAAGAGACTTCTCAAGAACAAAGCCAAGAACTCCACCAACTACAACATTCACGTGGCGATCTACCCGTCCGACCCGAAAACCCTTCCAGGGGAGATCTATGAGGCAGCATATGGCAAGGAGAAGCCTGTGGAGAGTGTCGAAGTTCGCTTGCCAACTGCCAATTCAGCTTTGATTCCAGTTCGCCGGAGCAATAAGATGGTCAGAGACACCCCGGGCTTTGCGGTGGCAGGCATGCAGAACAACAACATGGGCATGAACATGGCCATGGGCACCATGCTCCAGATGCTCAACCAATGCATGGCAGGGGCGAATGGTGGCTGCATGAACAACTCCGGTGGCCTGCAGAACCTCCAGATCTTCGCCCCGAAGACCAAGCAGGCCTCGCCTCTTTCCAT